TTTTGCCGAAATCGCCACTTTCCAAAGAGCTCCTTTGCCATCGAATTTGTATTTTTGTTTACAGTTTGGCAATTTTGGCGATTTATCCCCAATTCTGCCATTTTGGGCAAATACGCCATTTTCGCCAAAATCGCCACTTTCCTAAAGGCCCCTTTGCCATGTCATTTGTATTTTTGTTTACAGTTTGGCAATTTTGGCGATAAATCGCCGATTCTGCCATTTTCGCCAAATACGCCATTTTAGCCAAAACCGCCACTTTCCAAAGGGCCCCTTTGCCATCTCATTTGAATTTTTGTTTACAGTTTGACGATTTTGGCGATTAATCGCCAATTTTGCCATTTTCGCCAAAATCACTTCTTTCCAAAGGGCCCCTTTGTCATCTCATTTGGATTTTTGTTTACAGTTTGGCGATTTTGGCTATTAAGCGCCAATTCTGCCATTTTCGCCAAAATCGCCACTTTCCAAAAGGCCCCTTTGCCATGTCATTTGTATTATTGTTTACAGTTTGGCGATTTTGGCGATTAATCGCCATTTCTGCCATTTTGGCCAAATACGTCATTTTCGCCAAAATCGCCACTTTCCAAAGGGCCCCTTCGTCATCTCATTTGAATTATTGTTTACAGTTTGGGGATTTTGGCGATTAATCGCCGATTATGCCATTTTCGCCAAATACGCCATTTTCGCCAAAATTGCCAGTTTCCAAACGGCCCCTTTGCCATCTCATTTCAATTTTTGTTTGCAGTTTGACGATTTTGGCGATTTAGCGTTAATTCTGCCATTTTCGCCAAATACGCCATTTTCGCCAAAATCGCCACTTTCCAAAGGGCGCCTTTGCCATCTCATTTCAATTTTAGTTTACAGTTTGGCGATTTTGCGATTAATCGCCATTTCTGCCATTTTGGCAAAATACGCCATTTTCGCCAAAATCGCCACTTTCCAAAGGGCCCCTTTGCCATCTTATTTGAATTTTAGTTTACAGTTTGGCGATTTTGGCGATTAAGGGCCAATTCTGCCATTTTCGCCAAATACGCCATTTTCGCCAAAATCCCACTTTCCAAAGTTCCCCTTTGCCATCTAATTTGAATTTTTGTTTACAGTTTGGCTATTTTGGCAATTAAGAGCCATTTCTTCCATTTTTGCCAATGCGTGCATTTCTGGACATATCTCTCTCCGCTGGCGAGGATTGCTATCCACTTGTTGTGCTCTTTGTCCTGTGGCATTTGAATGGGAAATTGCTAGTGTTTCACCGATCGTAAACATTGTTTCAAATTTTAGATGAATAAACGCATCAGCCTTTCATGAATACATGAAAATGCGCTGGTCATCAGCGGCAGTCTATGTTGCCTGGAAACGCAAAATGCTCCATGACGTAGCGCTATATGACGTCATTGGCGGACACAAAGCATATATTCATAGACAGAGTGTCCGGGGAGGAATCAGCTGTCAGGATAAAGATGGTCAGTGGGCCTGTAGGTTGAACTGTATTCAGCCTCAGGGGTTGAATATAAATGATTTTTTTTCACAGCCAGAATAGGGCGACTAGGTCTCGCGTCCGGTAAAAGCGCAAATGTATAAATATATAAATCAAAGCAATCAAATTTAGTGCAAGTTGACCACAAATCTAATAAGGCTTTAAACAGAAAGAAAACAGTTTTCCCCGCAGTAAGAGATGCGCAGTGCAAAACCAGTGAATCACCTTAAGGCCTGGGTCTAGTGGAAAATGAATTATTGGCTATAATTTCGGCACAGAAGGTAGAATTAAATGGACATTTCGCACACATCAAACAACTCATTTTGAAGTATAAATATTGTGTTGGAGCAAAGTTATGCGACAATTTGTTTAAAGAATCTCAGATAATTGACAAATTGGTAACGGGGTTAAGAAAAGAAATCAAGCAATAACATTTTTCTCATTTTCTCATTTTCATGTTATTTTTAACACTTTCACGTTTGAAATTACTGTCCAATGCAAACCAACTCAAGGTCTTGCCCCTTCTAGGTGGGTGCTCCATAACTGTGGCTGTAGTGAATGTAAGGAAAAGCCACAAAGTGAAACAACATATCTAACATTTAACTTAATTTTAGCGAATGTTTTGCTGACATCGTTGCTTCCATAGCAACAGAATAACTATGGCATGTAAATGAAATCTGCAAATTGGGAATTTTCTCAAAAGATGTCAATAATCTGTTAAAAAATCCTCCCGTGTTCTAATACATGTAGCTTATAGACCGTTGTTTTTACCTTGGCAGTATTTGAAAAAAATCTACGAGGGCGTTTTTGAAGTATACTGTTCTAAAAATCTTGCATCCCTAAAAATGTCTTTTTCACTTTTTTTGATCATCAAAAATGATGATTTACAGCCGAGCCGGTACAATTGAAATTTATGTACCTAGATTAAGGAGCGGCTCAGATGTTTCAATCGCCCTTTGCGATCACACATTTTGCTATTCATACTGATAACATATATTTGCTCATGTAAGGGTGAATAGGTCTCATGCATTTAAAGTCTATTTATTCTCTTTCAGAAAAGCCAAACAAATTAATTCACCACCAATTTGCCAATTTCCTTAATTTTAGATTAATGTCACTTGAGCATAATTAAACGTTAATAAGGCACAAGATTTACGTTTGGGGAAAAATTCATATTGCTCTAGGTATCCTAGCAAGAGATATTGCCAATCAATCATATTCCCCGAACACACCTTTGAACTGGGTCTTAAAAGCTCCTTAAACCACTAGGGTAAACGGCATTATGGTTCATGTGAAACACTCTATCAACAAAACTAAATGGAACAGTTCCCTATTAAAATGTTTTCTTTTTGTTACGTTCGACGTAAAGAGAACGCAACCCCTAATCTTGGACATTCTGTGGTTCTTGGTTATTATGTGGTATAAGGGGTGACATTTAACAACTTTGCCTTTTTCGTTATTCTTCTTGTCTATTCGGTGGCAAATTGAATTACATCATGGCATATCATGCAAAGAAAAAAGGTTCACGTGCAGCAGCTTAATATCTTTCTTTCAAAAAAAATACCTATGATATTGCACTGGTTTTTTGATGAATGGATGATCGAATCGGTGAGAGGAACAATAAAAACAGGGTTCTAGACTGTTTAAATTATTTGTTAACGTTTTAAACTCAACCGACTTTGTAAACAATCTATTTCATGAAAGAATGGTGCAACTTGTTTTTCAATTCCGATGTTTTAGTGAGACACTTCAATTCGTATTTGGTTTTCAATATCTCTTGACGATATCAGGACACGGAACCCCTTTGCCCACCGAGTGTTTTTCCGTTCGTTTTAACTTTTGTTATATCCTCGAATACAAAAATAAACTTTGTGGCATTTCCTTGCACATCCGATCAAAAGATAATTTAACCTCGAACGCACTCCATAATCTTTGATTACTACTTCTCAAACTCATTAATAATTTACAAAGAGAATACAAAGGAAATTAATGTTTAAGGAGTGTTTGGAAACCAGATGAAAAACTGCAGCTCTCTTTTCTTTTCTTAATTTCTCCTTCTAAAATCATTTTTTTGAGAAATGAAATCAAGCATTCGACACAGTGTTTCATTACCAGATGAAACACCTCGAAGTTCGTCAAAAATACTCCGCTGCGCGTCGTATTTTGGACTCTCTTCGGGGTGTTTCATCTGGTGGTGGAACACTGCGTCTCATGCTTGATATATTACATCTTTGCTGATCAGAACCAGAAAATAAACTTTGAGTAACATAGTTACCGTGAAAATACATACAGAATCGACCTCTATTTTCGCCTTAAGAATATTGATCAAGCCATTTTGCATGAAAATGAGTATTCAATAGTACGTTCAGCCATTTTAAAGTTTAACAAGATCACTAAAAATGAGTTGCGATACTGAACACTTCACTCTGATAGAACCGATCGTGAGATAGAAGAGAGCTTTCACCCTTTTCCTCTGTTCATAATATTATCTTTTAGTTCATATAAAGAATTATTCATTTCACTCTACTTATACCTTTGCACGTTTAGGTTTTCAATGCACTTGGTCATGGGTAAGTGTGGAGTACTATGCAATATCACTCAAGAAAGCAAAGATGTTAAACAAGCTCTTTATCCCGTTGTGTCTCTGTCGGGTCCTTTTTGCAGTTTCCCTGCTTGTCGAGAGCAGTTATGGTACATAAAAACAAATTCTTCATCTTTTTACTTGCACGTTATAATGAAATTTTGAAATAATGGTAATTTTGTGGCGTCCTAAATCGGAAAGAGCAGCTGAATTTCAAAGGTTTAACCAGCTTGCAAAGAAGAAATTAGTATGGCCGTCTCAAAACAACTGTAGAGTTGATTCATCAATGTCTTAACGCGTGCTTTTAAAAGTGGACTAAAAACTATGTTAATATCTTGGTTCAAGTCTATTTTGCAAATATTCCGATCTTCTCTATAGCAGCCAGCCTTTTAACGAAGAAGTTGCAGTTTGTCCAGGGATCGTTCAGGTTAGCTTGTCTTCAGTCCTCAATTAAGCTTCCTAAACGTTCAAATTAATAAATGATGAAGTGTCATTTTCATTACCTTGAATCAAATATGATTGTGCTATCATATTTGAGAATGCTGATTGAATATGCTATCGGGAAATACCAAGCTCGAGTGCTCTCGAATAAAACGACGACTGAAAGTCTACAGAAAACAAATGCAAATAGTGATATATATTAGCTCCCTGAGTAAGAGTTGAGTCAAAAGTACAAAATATTTAAGTTATAAAAGAAACGGTAAGGCACTTAACTCGAAATCAAATTTTTGAGATACACCACAGATATCTCGCGCTGTTTACCTAAGCATTTAAAAGAAAATTCCTTTCATTCTAGCCAAAGTGTATGATGACCTATATATTCTTTAGGTTAAAAAATAAACTCAATTTCAGTACAGATGCACGTTCAGGCACCTGACCTATCACCCTCCTATTCATCAAGAGCGTATATAATAACATCTGAGAAAGGCTTCTTCATTAAAAGTAGCGATGCCGACCATTCACCGTGTCCAGTTACGTCTGTGCTGTGCCTCTTTCGTTCTTTGGCTTCTTGCACAAGGCAGTAAAGGTACATACACATGAAATTTTTCATCAATTTTCTTACTCATTATAATTGCTGTTTCTTAATTTCTAAACGTGATTTCTTAGCATTTCACAATAGCAAGAGAAGGGAGAGTTTTAGGGCGTGACACGTTCGCAACGAAGAACATTTAGATAATTATAAATAACTAGTTAAAAAAAATCGTATTCCTTTTTGTTCTTGACATTGCAAATATTTTAGTTTTTATTTCTTTTAAATGGCAGGCAGCTTTAAAGCTGGTAAAGCCAACGTGGCTACAGTTTCTCCTGGGCTATTCGCTTGCCAACAGGTCTCGTTTGCGACACCTTTCCACGGCGGACAAGAAGTTACCGTTCTTGCTTCACTGGGTCGTTCTATCAAAAGCCCAACTCGTGGTAACGGGGGGGCCATCTGGGTGGAGTCAGTAGATCAAAGTGGTTTCAAGACTTGTATTCTAGAATACAGTGATGGGTCCAATAACACAGCAGAGGTAAACTGGATAGCAACACAATCTGCTCCATCTGGAGGTAAAAGGGGATCTATATCTTTTGGCGATTGGGCAACAGGAACACAGTGCAAAATAATTAATTTTCAGCAGGTAAGTGTTTTAATTTGTATTTTTTCTAGTTAAAGGTATATTAACAGTGATCTCAACTAATCAAGAATGCAATATTTCCATTTTATAAGGGGACGTGGCATTAATGTATCAACGGTATAGATACCTTAAGACGGTTGTAAACATTTTATTGATTCATTGGTTCATTCTAAATTTTTCTTTCTTTTAATTTTTTTTTCATCATATGAGTTTCTGCTTTCATGGCAAGCCTTACTTTTCTCTTGAGATGAAAGAAGAAGTACAAATTGACAATAACTTATTAAATATGTAATCTAAAACCTTAAAAGTTTTATGAAATGTATGTCGTTCACTTTTGGGTTGTTTTCAGCCTTTCCAGTCACCCCCAGTCATACTTGTAACCCCTAGTCACCAGACTCCAGAGAGACCTCAGGATGCAATGGCTGTGTGGATTGAGGACTCGCGCAAGGACAGTTTCAAGATTTGTCTCAAGGAATCTAAAATTTTCGATGTAGTTCACAAAGATATTGAAGTTGTAAGTAAAGTAGTAGTTACAAGTCTCAAATTAAAAGGGTTAAAATAATGCATCCCTCCTGAAAATGATAATTTTAATATATTTATTTCTATATACGCTTAACTGCAATTAACCTTGTCATACAAAAAGAAAAGACAGAAAGCAGGAATAAAGCCAAGAAGGAATTATTTAGCCATCTCTATGCAAATTAAGATTTGATATTTTGGTAAGATAATGAACTAAACACTTTTGCAGTACAATATAATTATATTTCAACTTGACATCAATTTTAAGGTCAAGTTGGCCACACTGAAGACATTTTAAGTTTTATCCTCTCGCCAGTCCAGATCTTTCAAAATTAATTAATATTTTATTTCTCAGCACTATCAACCCACTTATTTCTGGAAAGAGGTTGAGACGGAGGGGATAACGGACATTTATATTCCACTTTATTGTTTGCCAGGTCCCCTGAAAGGCACTACTCCTGATGCTTGTATTGTTGGCGCGTTGCAAATTCATTTTCTTATCAGCTACCAATTCAGCTCACTATCCCCCAAAACAGCAGGGTATTTTGACGTTGCGTATCTTATAAGCTCTCAGCGCCACCATAGACTTTAAAATACGTTTTCTGATAACGATAGGAAGGATATATTGGACAAGAGTACGATTTTCCATATAAGGGTATAAGACTTGTCTAAAGAGAAATGCTCTATATTGGCTTCATATGACCTTACTCTGTCAGCAAAATGGACTCAAATGGAATATTATCTTCCCACTGCAAGTTATAATGAGAAGTAAAGATTTTATAGTTTGCGTTACCATGAGACCTACAAACCAGATAGATGACCTTTGAAAGTCAATTAATTCCATAAAAGACATATTTCCTGTCTCATGTCTTCACCTACATACCCTTTGGTGTTTCTTAGACGATGCAAAAAAAAAAAAAAAAATTATATATTAAATTGTTATTTTCCTAGACTTTCACTCAGCTAAACAGGGACTACTATAGGTGGATTCTTGGTTGCGTTGCTTGGCTAAATTCAAATGTGAAACCAAGTTGTTTTCCCAATTCAGATCACGTACGTGATGTTCTCAAGGGAACTTCCCTTTTGTCTATTCATAAATTTGCATACACATGTACGTCATCAAATCATGATGGAAAGTGGTGTGAGACACAGCAGAAGGTGGAAAAAACACTGCGAGTTTTTTACTTTAAAGAGCCTGTTTAGATGGAGGTAGGGCAACCTCTTCCCCAGGGCTTTTCCCTCAAATTTTTGAGGGAAAAGCCCTGGGGACGAGGTTGGAGGTAGGGGGCCCCAGGTAGGTGCGGTAACCCGCTCAATGAATGATTTTCCAGCAATCGGAGACCAATGTTTTGCGCACAGGATTCTGGGATCGCCAGGGGGCAAACATTGCGAGTTGCTACAAAGAAATGTATGGCGTTTCTCCGTTAAAAGCGGTGTCTTTGGACAGAGAATGCCGCATTTTGCCGTGATGTTATGAGAAACGGAGGTGACTAATGTTGGGGCGTTGAAATTTCAAGTTTCTGTGTGATTAATGCGATAAATTCTATCGATAAACACTCCTTGCTGCATGAGGTTGAGGGTGAAATTTATGTTTACAGAATTTACACAGTGATCTACATGAAGAAAAGGTCTCGAAATATATAGTACAAATTTAGGTATACATGTAGGGGGATTGGCTCATTTAAGCGTTTACGTTATAATTACGTGTGGGTATATGTACGACGAGTGTAACTACGCTCGGCCGCGATGAGCGCTGTGCGGCGCTGTGCAGGTTATGACAAGACAACAATCATAGGTATGTACGTGGCCATAAAAATAAAAAATCCTCCTTTACTTTGGTATAAACAAATTGACATTTACGAAATATTCATGGAAAGTACATAGTATTTAACCATTAGTAGATGAGGCAGAAATCATACGAACTAGTAAGATTTCCGATACAAAAGCAGTCAGAGTGTGTAAATATAAAATACGAAGTTAATGTGCGAAATTGAGAGATCCTATATCTTCCCTAAAAATGTTTGGAAAAGGCATTCAGTTAGAAGTCATTGGTGCTCTGGATCATGACAAAAAACATTTTGCTTGTGTTTTTTTTTGCCGAGAAGAAATCAATCTACTAATGTGGGGAAATTGTTTTTGTTTTTTAAAGTTAATACATATCAAATTCGACAATACATAAGCTTACCTTCCATCGTTGTCACGAACCGGCACTGCATTGTGATCGCCGCCGAGCGGAGCGTAATTACACTCGTTGTTGATATGAGCACATGTAAGTACAACTGGAATGGCTTAAATGAGTCCGCATTCCCCGCTCATTTACACCTAAGTATATATATATTTCGAGACCATTCAGTAAATTTCACAGTCGACCTTACGCAAGGAGTGTTTATCGATAGATTTCATAGCATTGATCCCACTAAAACTGACAATTTCAAAGCACCAACATTAGCCACCTCCGCTTCTCATAAAATCACTGCAAAATGCGGCATTCTCTGTCCAAAGACTCTGCTTTTAACAGAGAAACAGCTCCAAGCCATACATTTCTTTGTAGCGACTTGCAATGTTTGCCCCCTGGCGATCCCATAATTCTGTGCGCATAACTAAGTCTCACATTACCGGAAAATCATTCATTGGATAAAAAAATTATACGCGTTTACATGCAATCTTGCAACCTTATCATCCCGGGGTACACATTCTCAAGATTATTTAATGGTCGCTAAGAAAGTAGATCAAATTACAATAAAGTTGTCATACAAAAATGAAAACAGGACAATTGAACAAAGCTAAATAGGAATAAATTTAGCACGCTCATAACTCACTACTATCAGGGATCTATTCTCATTGCATAATAAATTAGCTCGAAACGAAATTTGGTGTAATCCGTTCGTATTCTCCCGCGTTGGTACACGCATGTAGTGACCGTGATGCTTTCCGCTCCGCTGGAATAAATTCGGCGGTTTCATTCACATCGTGGCCATTTTAAGGGTCAGTTCTCCGGGAACTCTTTCGCCTTTCGAGACGCTCGTTATTCAACCGCCACCAGCTTTCCATGGCTGACCGAGTTATTCCTCCCCCGGCCGCTCTCGCGTCAGTTCCAGCTGCTTTACCACCAGCCCCTGAAAACGCAGTATCCCGCCTACTCCACCAGAAGCGAATGTGGAACCAGAGCAAGTTCCGCCTCCTGACGCTCTAGGAAAGGTAATTCTATAATTGTCTTCCCTTTTCCGGTTTTCAATATGGCGCTTTCTATGTTCCGTAAGGTTCTCTAGACCTGTGTTTCGGTTTTGCGTTGTTTCTTTTGTTTTAAGGTTAGCTTATTTTCAATTCTCTGCATTTTTTTTTCGTTTCGTTTCTATAATTTGTAGTAGTGTCGTTGGCATACTCACACCTCTTCGCTTTGCATTTTTTCACGGTGCTTAGTTTCTTTTACTTCTAGGCTTATCGCTTTTTCAGGCTTTTTTGCCCATTGTTTTTTTACGCTTGCTTTTTGTTTGCCGCCCATTATGCTTTTATTATCGTACTTTTCTATCACGTAACTGTTAGGGCCCGTTTACATGGAGGTGGGGGACCCCAGGTAAGTGAGGCAACATGTGGCCGGTTACCCCACCTATCATGTAAACATGATCAAATTAAAATGAGAGATTATATGGACAGGCGGGTTACCACACCTAAGCGGGTTACCTCACCTACCCGGGGTCCCCCACCTCCATGTAAACAGGCCCTAAGTTCTGTGGTGGGCTGTTTAGGCAGAGTTTCTTGTTTATTGAGGCGGCGCCTTTTTTTGTTCTTTGGGCTCTTTAGTTTAGTGTTTTCTTTAAGCGTTTATTTTTACCTTTGTCTATTATCAGTGAAGGCGATTTATTGTTGCGTGGAATAAGTTTAGGGTGCCACCGGTGAAAGAGTTTTATTCAGTAAAGCGGGTCGGGTCCAGATTGGTTTTCCACATTTTCAGTGTGTATTTGGTAACGACTTTTGTTGCCGGTTACGATTGTAAAATATGCTAAAGAATTGCGACAAATTACGTTCATTTGTTTGTGTGAATCCGCCTTTATTCTCGGAAATACGGACTCATTTTGAGTGAACCGCTGATGAGGGTAGTTTGTTTCTGCGTATAGCAGTTCTTGGATACCACCAGTGAGGAAAATGAAGTAGTTTGCGTTTTTTCCCTGTTTGCGTAACTAGCCACCTTTTCTACAACGGCGAATATTTCCAATCTTATGTCGTAGTTGAATGTTTTTCTCCGCTGGTGAAGGCAACTTACTGTTTCGTAGAACGATTATGGCATGCCACCAGCGTCTGTAGTTTGATATTGAAAGGAGAGGATCTGTTCCGAGTAGTGTTTTTGTTTAATTGTTAGTTGCCGCGCCACTTGTCAATACCACTTGCTGCTGCTTGTGATAATTGTGCAATCTCTCTAAAGGAGTGATATAATAAAACATATCTTTTATTTTCTTTCGCGTAGCTCAGGGATTGATTTCGTCGCGCGAGGTGGATCCGTCTCGTGTTTTTTGTTTTTGTTTTTTTATTTTTAGTCAGTACCGCTGGTGAAGGCAACTTGCCATTGCGGAAATTATTGCAGATACTGTCAGTGGATCGGATATAATTCATGGAACATGCTTTTTCATCGTTCGCGTGGTCCGGAGTTAAATTTCCCTTTTGAAACGTTTGCGAGCATAGTTTTGTCCCTTTGTTTACCTAACTCGGGCGATCCGGTTTCAGGTTTTCAGTTAGCGTCCTAAGTAATACATAACTGCTGCGTGGGATATATTTTACACCCCCCGGTCACTGGGGTGCATGGTTTACAGGGTGTTACACAGGTTTACTCGTGTATTCGCAAAGAGCTTGGGATGTACCTTTTATGTGTATTCTCAGTTTATGTTGTCATGCCGTGTTATTTGGGACTGGAGAGATTTAAATCATCAGAATGCTTGGAGTCAGCCCTTGCAGCTTTATGTAGGCAGATAAGTCGCCCGGCAGCAATGTTTGATAAGTTTGAGGTTATCGACCTGTTAAACTCCCTCGCGCGGCCTGCTAGAAGTGAAAGGCACCAAAAAGTTGAAGAGTAAGCGGCTGGGCAAGACGAGATTAAAGCAAGAATGGATTCTCTGGATGCCCCACAGCTACAGCGCCTTCTTCTCGGGTTGTTAGGCGATAGTTTTTGCGCTAAGATCGCCAAGGAGACTGCCACCGTTTTGGAGGGCGTAACTGAAGATTCTTCTCCGCCCCCCTGGCTATGGTCGTGCTGAGCGCGGATAGGCTCCTTACTCCGGCCGTCGTAGGGGGCCGTAGTGCTTCAAATGTTATGAATGGGGTCATAGAGCCCGTATTTGCCGCTGCCCTCCAGTCAGCTGTCAGTTTGGTCGGGGTCGTGCCAGAAATTCTTAGCTGCCGATCTTTTCTTTAGGCACTTTGTTTTTCTTGTCGGTTCGTATAATAAACCGTTATTGTCACATTTTGTAGTTTTTTTTTCTTTTGTAGTTTTTGTAGTTCCTCTTAACTACTTCCTCCTTTTCGTTGATATTGTGGGGGATCCCAGTTCGTTTTTCTCCGGGGTTGTTAACGTGGCTTTGCCCTCATTTTTCATATATGTTCCTTTTTGTGATATGAACCAGGGAACCTGCCCCTTTGTTGGCCCCCACCCTTTTCCTGGTATGGTTGTTCCTAGCAGATTGCTGGCTGAAGCGGCTTCGTATATCATGTGCTACCTACTCATAGAGGCCAGTTATTTTATTGGCATCGGGAAATCGCAGGTTTGATGTTCGGATGTCATCGGTTTGATGTTCCTAACTGACAATCAGGTCCTTAAGTCTACGTTAGACGACGACGGTTGTAAAAACTAGGCAATCAATGACGTCATTAAAGAGATTTTGTGCCACAGTTGTGACTGCGACTTCAGCATCCATACCATCTATCTGCCGTCTGAACGAAACCTTGCTGACGAACCTCCACGGGTGTTATCCGTGGCGGATAACACCCTCCGAGATCTCCATAATTCTTCATATGATACGAAAGCCGAATTCAATAATTGTTTTATTATTAGTTCACAATAATTCCTAGTTTAAAAACGTGGTTAAAACATGCTTACCTCCATCGATCCATCGATGTTAAGTTCATCTCGATAGTGCGATAGCGCACGTTTAGGGTTCTTCAACTCCGCAAATATTCTCCAAATAGCAGATGTCGCCCTTCGAGTTGTCTTCTTGCTGTTCTTTCCGTGTTTTTAGCCAATTTTTCGCCTAATTCTTACTCTTGAAACTAGTGAAATGTCCGCCATTTTTCAAGTTCACAACCAAAACAACTCAACCTCGTCCCCAGGTCATCTCTGTAACGGTACATTAACCTGCAGGAACGCTGCATTTTTGACGTCATTTCCTTGCTAAACACCAAATTCTTCCAAATTTGGTCATCAGTAACTGGTTATGGTGAATTAAACGTGTGCTTTTAGCCAATCAAAATCGGGGAAATACTAGTTATCTTTAGTTACCTAGCTGGGAAACCCACCTCAATATAATCAGGCCATTAGTGCGAATTTGCGCGAGAGAAACAGTCTGTGACACTATTAAGTGTATAATAGCCGAGTCCCACACGTACGTCAGTAAAAACCCGATAAATTTCGGTAGTCACGTCACCGCACGACCGCCCGCCCGTTCGTCCTCACCAAAGGGAAACCAACGTGAAATGTCACATTTTCTAGCTAGTGTGGGAGCATGCAACTTGATATTGCACATCCATGTTGTGGTCAACTGACAGCTGTCAAAACAGGGTATCTGCTGACAAGTACAGTATGACCTTATCGCAGGTTCACTTTACGTGCTTTTTTTAAGTTTCCCTCTGACTCGTTACCGGTTTTCAAGTAATCACAGTCTCAACTCCAAGTGCACCTCTTTACAATGGTTACAAGTTGATTGTTTGAAGTAAATTACAAGCTTGTTTACGGGAACTTCGTCTTTGTTTTTGGCTAAACCTATATGTAATTGAACATCTGTTTGTAATTGTACTAATTTGCTTAGTATACGTCTCAGACTGAACTAAGTACTTAGGGTGAGTATTTTCCTGTTCTTGCAGAACTGGATGGCTTACACCGAGGCGAATTTTGACAACTTCACTTTGACAGAGAGCCTTGTATTTACAAACAACACTCAACAAGACAATTATGCTTTTTGTCAGGTAAGCGGATTTTTAGCCACACAAAAATTCATACCCAAGAAAAATCAGTAAAAAAAAATAGGAGTCTCTAAGTTCAGGTTCACACCAAACCAGTTTTTAAAATTTTTATCGACGAAATTGAGGCCGTCAAAGTGAGGTAAGTATACCTCTAGTACTCGGTTGGCGATATACGCAGCTATAGACCTGGTAAGATGAAACGATAAGGCAAAAAAGAACAAAGTTTAATTTTTTTAGTTGAGTTTTTTGGAAAGCCAAAATTACGCATTTGCATTATTCCCCTATATCCTCTTTAGTATGGGATGATTATGGAGACGGTCTTAAACAATGATTTAAACAGTTCATCCATAAAAAAGTGACTCTTACAGACCATGTCTTTCTTATTTCAGAAAGTAAACTTCACAAGTCCATTCTTTGCTCCTCCAGTGGTGGTTTTGACACCAAAACGCATTTACAGAAATGTTACCTCACCGGGATCTGAATGTGATGCAATGACAGCCTGGGTCGAGGTAAACATTACTTTGTTTTTATTCTTTTAAACATTGCCCCAAGACCGTTCTCGTAATTTACCATTAGGTGAATAATCGTTTTGTTTCTTCGCCATGATACTGTTTAATTCCTTAGCCTACCACTCTCGTTAACAAACTACTTTGCGTATCCTAAGCGACTATCACTCTCCTTAGCGACCATGCACTTTGCGTAAGCGACCACCTTTCAGTAATAACCATTTTGTTTCTCAGTCAATTCTGTTTTAAGTAATGGACTTTCTTGTAAGTAACCATTCCACTTAGTTGCGGTGACTTTCACTGTTTTTGATAGGGTGCCGCAGTCGAACCGACTGCTTTGAATTCACGCGTTACTGTCAGTAAAACTGAGATCAATAGGCCTTATCACGGTTTTCGACGCCATCTTGACGAGTAGGCAACCGTGTGCGAAGTTACAGTGTTTGTATGAGAATCTAATGTATGTTGGGCGAGAACTTTCTAGCTCTTAAAAAATACGCATTTTGAAGGAATTACTTCTTTATTTTTTCATTGTTCATTTTTATCTGTAATTATTTTCCCCTTTTTTTTAATTGTTATTTTAATTTAAAAGAGAAGTAAATGTAATATCAAATGAAATCAAAATAAAACGAAATGAAACCAAAGTAAAATCAAATCAAATCAAAACTAAAATCAAATGAAATTTTCGACCCAGCCGAGCGCTGCCACTACCAGCATGCATGGCGTACATCACATACATTTGTGTTGTGTTTACGACCGACCCTTTCTCTCGAAGAAGCTCGAAGATGGCGGATAACAGTTTTCATCGTGGAAGGAAGAGCACCTTCTTAAAGGTGCGATGTAGATGTACGTTAAACAAGGTCTTACGTAAACGCGAAGAAGCGATCGATTTTTTGGGAGAACGGCTTTCCTCAATAAGTGCTGGAGTATCCAAGCTCTCGACAGACGTTTGCGCCATTTCGGAGTTTGAAACAAGACCAAAGATGACACTGATTCGGTTGAAGATGTTGAAGAAACTGTATAAAAGGAATTGGAGGGCCCTAGAAAACTAATGGGTAAAAGAGCAATGCACAAGAAAGTCAGACAGAAATATGACATTTGGTTAGGCGAGATCAAGTGTAATGTGAAATGTGAGATGTCTTTTGATGTTGCCAATCGTCATCTCTTCCGTATGGGGGGTTATCAGGGTCAAAATTCAGTTTTCCTGTTCTGTTGTGCTATTTTGTTGTTTTGTTATCATGTTTTGTCAATCCGTTTTAACATTCTATCGTTCTGTTATTGGGGCATACAGTGTCCAATTATGCAATTCTGTTGCGTTGTTGTGCTAGTTTTACCATTCTATACTCTGTTATACTATTCTGTTTTACCATTCTGTCTTACGATTTTTCTGATAGCAACTTACTTATGACTTTGACATGACAAGTCGGGCGTCGGAAAAACAGGAAAACGGAATCGGGAATTAGGAACCGGAACCGGAACAGAAATAGGAAAAGGAATAGGAAAAGGACCAGATATAAATGGGATTTATTATTCATTCAAAATATTTCCCCGATTCTGATTAGCTAAAAGCACACGTTTAATTTACCATAACCAGTTTCTGATGACCAAATTTGGAAGAATTTTGACTTAACGAGGAAATGACGTCAAAAATGCAGCGTTTTCGCAGGTTAAGGCACGGTTAACCGAGAAGACCTGGGGAGGAGGTTGAGTTGTTTTTGTTGTGAACTTGAAAAATGTGGACATTTCACTCATTTCAAGAGTAAGAACTAGGCGAAAAAATAGCTAAAAACATGGCAAGAACAGCAAGAAGACAACTCGAAGGGCGACATCTGCTATTTGGAGAATATTTGCGGAGCTGGACAAACCTAAACGTACACTATCGAAGATGAACTGAACATCGATGGATCGATGGAGGTAAGCTTGTTTTAGCTATGTTTTTTTTTTAACTAGGAATTATTTTGAACGAATAATAAAACAGTTATTGAATTCGGCTTTCGTATCATATGAAGAGTTATGGAGATCTCGGAGGGTGTTATCCGCCTCGGCCTACGGCCTCGACGGATAACACCCTCCTCGATCTCCATAATTCTTCATAAGATACTCAGCCTCATTCATTAACTGCTAAGTAATATATCCTAATTCGATTTGACCCTCCACAGGGTTTTAATACTAAAGGTGAAAGCACGCGCACGACACGCTTTCACTTTAAAACAAAAGAAGTTATTTTAACACGCTTTAGCACGCTCGCAATCTTGCCTCATTAGCAATTTCTCTTGTTTCAGAGTACACGCTTGAGACAATTAAGCGTGAGCAAGTCGAACAAAAGAGCGTGTTAAAGTTTTCAAACAAAAGCTCCGTGCGAAAAAGCACAACACGTTTTCAGTGTGCTCAAAAGCACGCAAGGCGTGTTATCTATAAGCTAAATAAATGTCCTCTACAAAAAAGGAACCGTAAATGATTATGAACGGCACCCTTTTTTGGTAACTATCGAGAAAGAAAAACTTATACTTCAGCGATCGCGGCGATAGTATCTGATTGAAAAAACGTTGTCGCTTGAAACTGAGTATAAACAGTGGTGACCTACTGGATTTATGGGTAGAACTTTATTAGCATTGCAAAATCAAAGTTCTTTCCAGAAATGTTTACTGACGAAGCTGTGCAAAGGTTATCTTAACGTTCCTCAATTTAAAACACATTTGCAATTTTCTCAGAAACAGTGATCTTTCGGACTTAAGAGACTTTCTTGCCGATCGCAGCAATCGCGATCAAATATAATAGAAATCATCAAGTGCCAGGATCGCTAAATTGCATTTATTTTTTAGCGATTGCAAGAATCGTAGTGATCAAATGAAAACCAGCCTGCTTTTCTAGATGTACCAAAATTCCAAAACGTTTCCGGCCGACAATAACACAAAAAGCGAAACTGGTATTTAAACAGTGTATGCACCCCCAATTTCTTCTTCTTGAAATATTACACATCGCGTATGCTACAGCCTTATTGTCCAAATTCCGTAATCATCCTGTTGTCTTTCTTGTAATTGCCGTCTGTTTTACAACCATCTAAACAAACATTCGCGTATGAAGTTACGGCGACCGATTTAGCGCCATCAGCCGGTATTACGCCCTGCAATTATTTAATTTTAATTTTTTATTTAAGGTGAGACTTTTGATGTAAGTCAAAAAGGTATTGTTTGTTAATAAGCCGCTGAAGAACTTTTAGAACGCCCGAGTCAACGAAAAACGTTTGTTCAAGACACCGTAAATAACTGCGTCAAGTAGAAGAAGAACTAGTTTTTACTGTTTCTTCGAAAATTTCGATGTGCTTGTTTTCAGCCTAATTAAGTCTATACTATTTGGGAAAATAGGAAACAAGATGACAACGCGCTTTTTTTAGCAGCAGTTCACGTTACTGATCCAAGAACAGTATCCTCTAAAAGCTAGGTCGTGCCCGGCTTTCCCCTTGCCAAATTGTAAAATCTCTTTTCATTTTTCAGTTTCTATCTATTATTTAGTTAATGTCTTTCGTATTGTCGTTTTAAAAAATACACATAAGAACTTACAGCGCTCCCAAATTTTATTTACAAGGTACAATGCAATCTTATCATGTTAATATATAATGCTTTTGTAAAAAAGTGAAATATTTGACACACTTAATATTTTAGTAAAACTTGTAGACAGGTACTTGAAATTGCTATTCTAGGACTGGTGGGGCCACTAAATTTTCTGTTCCGTCCGAACAGAATTATCTTATTTCCTTAAACAGGTACTGAACACGTTCTCGGCTGATCCCGCTTGAGGTGATTATGGGTGGAAGCTGTCCACCTCCGGGGAATCTTGCATCGTTTCTTAAAATGTTTGTTGCTATTTCTTCAGATTTTCAGTACCTCTTGCAGAAAATAGTTCCCGGAAAGTCTTTGTGGAAACGAAAATGATGATATGATTTGATCTTAGAGAGTTTCTTAAAAACCTGTGAAAGATAGTTCGTCCAGTCATTGGTGGAATCAAGCACCGTTCCATCGTGGAGACCTACGAGTTCTGCCACATTTACTGATGCAGATTCCTCTACACATGTACCTATGTCAAAGAGTGAAGAAATAAATGTTCGCCTTGTTCTTTGTTTCAATAATCCAAAGCACCAATCGGGCTCAAATTTTGTGTGGCCGGCTAATAAGAAGTGATAGTGTATTAAATACACTATAAATTGCAGAAATTTTCTACATGAAGACCGCTCATGACTCGCCACATATAATACCAGAGAAAAGCAGAGTTTTTGTTCTGTGCTCCACAGTTGTCCGCGTGATGTTGGGCATTCTTTTCTCCGAGGCCGTGCTTTTCAAAAAAAATGTGCACATACGAAATAGTACTATTCGCCCCTTTACCAGTCAAAACGCTCTCGTCTATTAAAAAGTTCAGTTGCCTCGGAATGGCTTCGCAGCAGACGCCAAAGATCCCACACTTTCGAGGAGTTTTAAAATAGATAGCGCCAGGCTGATTTGGCTCTTGATTATCTTCAGTTTCTCGCTCACCAAAATACAGTTCTTCGACGCTTTCCAAATTTTCAAAATCTTGCAAATTTAAACTCATCAGTGTGCCATTTCGTGAACGCTCCATCGTAACTGATTAACTGTTTCTGTACTCAAGAAACGATTGATAACACATTCATGCGTCAGTGATGCGTGCAACGGAGACAAACATCAGTTAATTAATGACTGTTTCACCGCTTTTTGAATAATAACAAAAAATGTATTTTTTAACAGAATTCCGAAATTGTATGGTGCTTTTTTGTTTGATTCTTGTTTTTTCCACGATAATACGGCGTGTTTAGAGTACTAAAGTTCCATCCGAGAATTAAATCTCTGTCAGTCACACACTGAGAAAAGAGAAAAAGAACTAAATTAAAAGTAGTCCGCGTGAAAATCTTGAAGGCAATCATTTGTTCCATAAAGTTCGGTCATTGAATTAATTCATCGAGCTCGATCGCCAGGGGTGACGGTCAAGCTGGTCGAAAGTGATGTCGTTTGAAGTTATGTCGTCCAAAACCTGATAATATGAGTTTTGTCGCCCAAAATTCAAAGAAAAGTCGCCTGCAATCCTCCCTCATTCTTCAGTGTTTTTAGTTTACAGATTCTTTTTTTTTTCGTCCTGTGAAGAATGAGATATGGTACAGGTTTACAGCACTTGATTCGTCTTAGCATGCATAGCGTAACGAGATATCTTCACATAAATTATGATTGAAAGCGCTTTGTTCGTCAGGGGCACCTGACGGCGATTTCTTCCTAAATGCATCCTAGGACAACTTCAGTATTTTGGAAATTACAAGGGCTTCAGCATTATTTTCCCGAAAAATTTAGCTTCCAATTGAAAGTTTTAGGAAAGTGGGAATTTTATCGTATTTTCGGTTCCGAAAATTTTAGGATTACTTAATTCTCTACGAAAAATAGCTTAACTGGGGAATGAAATGGAAAAAATTAAACTTCAGAAAATCGTAAGGAATTTATTAGATAACCTTGGAAAATTGTACATGCATGGAACGGTCATCTAGAAATGTTTAGCCTTCCTCAACCTATAGAAAATTCTAGGTAGTTTTTGTTTCTCCGATTTATAATTACCTTCGTTCGTCTCAGCATGGCTTAAAGAAATATATTAAACTAATTTATTCAACTTCATTTCTCTGTGCATTACTGCTAATAAATATTCCGGTGGCATAACTATAATTTTCAGGCGACATAACTTCAGTGCCTCGTATGCGATAGCAGGCCTCTTTGCGATTCCAGTCAACAGCCGACAGCCGGAGGAATTGGTTTACACTGATCTCCCGTTAATTCCAGGCTAGACCACCATTAAGTCGTGATTTTCAAATGGCCACGGTTACTATCAAATTCCAAAACAGTCTCAATTGGTATATTTGATTCACTTCGACCAGTTATCAATGCTGATTAAATTCGCTGAAAACCCAAGCCATTTTTATCATCTTAGCGGTTTTAGTAATCAAGCGTGTTTAGCGTGTCTTACCCAAATTGCACGCTAACCGTGCTATAATTCGCACACTTACCGTGACATATGGCTCGCTACAAAAAAACAAAAGGTCTAGCGTGTTAAATTTGCCAAAACAAAGGCAAGTGTGTCTGTCTTTGTTTTTTCAATTTAGTATGCGCATATCCGTGATCTACGGCACGCTAAGCGTGTCGTGCGCGTGCTTTCACCTTTAGCATCAAATTCCTGTGGAGGGTCACTAATGTTTATTTAATTTTTATTTTAGTTATGCGAAAAAAAGAAAAACAATTTCTGAAAAAGACAAATTTATCAAGATACATATCACTGGCGCTGTATCTCTGTATGTCTTTCGCAGGAAGGAAGGCATAACACATTTATTTGTCATTAATAGCGGAGCTCCACGCGCGCGCCATTTGGTAATCTATCCATCCGAGAAAATTTGGTTATGACGTCAGCGTACAACCTCCTGTCAGTACAGACGCTATGGGAGAGGGAAGGGAGTCAGAAGTTAGCCCGTCGGGGGAGAAGTATGTTATAGCTGAGGCGAAATTTTGCATTCCAAGGACCTCGCTCGTTTCGGCGGTAAATCCCATGGTCACCCGGCCCAGACTTTTAGAGGAAAAAAAAAAAAAGAAAGAAAAAACGAGTCTTTCTTTCCACTAAATTTTAATGTCCGCATTAACTTAGATAACAGGGAAAGAGCTAGAGCGAAGAAATAAAAATAACAACGGAGACCAATTTAGTAGGAAGAAAAACATGGACATTATATAGAGGCGTTAGAAAATGAGAAAATCTAGCGGCTATCAATGTGAAAATGAGCGGCAGTGAAAAAAGGAATGAACAGAAACACAAAAATTTTATCCGTAAAACAAGTTAAAAGAAGCTTAACGTTTTAGTCGTACAAAAGAACGGCAAGGAAATGTACAATTTTTCGCTAATTAGATCTATTGTTGTTTTTTACCGTTCTTGTTGTTTTCACCTT